TGTCCAACAAATGCTCTTACAACAATGACATCATAAGAAACTTGGAGTGGGAGACAATCTTGCATTTTCCATATGAGGACCTTTGATTGCATTGCATATGCAAAAATACCAGATTGTATGAGGTCCAAACTTGATGCAAAAGCTACAAAGTGTATGTTTCTTGGTTATTGTGAAGGTACTAAGGCATATAGGCTAATGTGCTTGGAAACCAAGAAGATCATCAAAAATTGTGATGTTGAGTTTTTGGAGCACAAGAATGCTTGTGAACACTTGGAAATGTGTCCAAGTGGGAGTAATGGTGTGTTTATGGACACATCTTTTAATTCAAAAAAGTAACAAAAAGATGAAGACAATGAAGATGATGAAGATGAAAAGCCAAAGAAGATTGAAAAGATGAAGGCTCCTACAGTTGATAGGACCAGCAATGAAAGAAATGAAGATGTTGAAGATTGGAATGATGATAATGATGAAGAATACCAACCATTGAGTGAAAAATGACAAGGTTTAAGAGAGAAGAAGGTTGGAAAAGAACAAAGAGTAAAACAAGGTGAATGTTCTTCTACAAGTGAAAGGAGATATCTTTTGAAAGAAAGAAGGCAATGTTGCGAATGGTGGAAGGATCACATCTTCCCTCAAGTAAGTGAAGAATATGCAAATATTGCTCTTCTTATTAATCCATTATCTTTGTGTGATGCTATGAAGTGTGAAGATGTAATCAAGTGGGAGAAGGCTATGGAAGAAGAGTACCAATCTCTTATGGAAAATGGTACATGGGAATTGGCACCTCTTCCAACAAATCAATCTAATGTTAGTTATAAGGAGATATTTAGGATTAAAAGAGATGCAATGGACTGAAGATGCAAATGATAGAAGATCCACAATGGGATATGTCTTCTTCATTGGAATAAGAGTCATTTCATGGAATTCTAAGAGACAACCTATTATTGCAAGATCAATGATGGAGGCAGAGTACATGGCAGCAAGTCATTGTGCAATAGAGGTGTGTTGGATAACGCAACTCTTAGAAGACATTGGTCTAGTAGAATTAGAAGCAACTCTAATTATGTGTGACAATCAAGGATGTCTTGTATTTTCCAAGAATCCAAAACACCACTCAAAGACCAAGCTCATTGAAGTTCACCATCATTTCATACAAGAGAAGATTGAAGATGCAATAATAGGTATGAAGTATTGTGCTACAAATGACATGCTTGCTGATATGCTCACAAAGGCATTAGTGAAGGATAGACATGATGACTTGATTTAGGATTAGGATTAAAAGCCTTTTGAATATTAGCAAAGTGGGAGTGTTGAAGATCAGCAAGTACTTGCTTAATTACAACCACATAGAGATTAAGCATATTATGTTGCTAATAGTAAAAAGACAGCAAAGAGTTAAAATAAGTTATTGTGGTGGCACCAAGGATTTGTAGGTGGCAGCTAAATTAAGAAAGAACCTAGGGTTTAGATGGATGAAATAAAAAAGAATGTGATATCAAAAGGATGGAAGTTGCCTCATTGGTTAGCAAACCACCACCTATAAGTAAAGAGTATTGGAAGTAAGAATTATCTTTCTCCACATTTCTCTTAGGCTACAATCCTTGTTGATGCTAAGTGTTTGTAGCTTTTAGACTTCTTTTCTTCAATAGTTAAGGCAATCAATCATTTTGCATGCATTTAAAGGTATGTAATTATTAAAGAATGTTCAAATGTCACTAGATTTACCTCACTTTGAAAATACAAACTCATTGTATATAGAAAAAACTTACTTTATGTTAAATAGATACTTACAAGATTTAACCTAATTTTTGCTTTACATTCAAACTAGTTTCTTACAAATATTTGTGAAATAGGTCAATAAAATTGGAAATGAATTTACAAAGAAGTGCATAAAATTTTATTATATTTATATTCAATTTTTCTATAAAAATATCATCTAGAAGGTCTTTATATTTGTACATAAAAAAATCCACAAATAATTTATTATGGTAGGTAAAACGGATTGTCTTTGTATTTGCACTTAAGATAAACAAAGTAGATTCAAATAATAGAAGTGTCTTATATATGTATAATCAAGGAAAAGCTTTGGAAAAACTCATCTTTAAAAATAAATGATTTTTATCTACTCAATCAACTCACAAAAGCTACATAGTTGTTACAACCTGAGATTATTCTAAAGAAATAAGATAAGTAGAATAAAGACTTTGGTATAGCAATCATATTGCGAGTCATTTGAAATATTTGTACAATAGTACTGTAAATCACTAAAACATCTTCTTGTTATCATTGTTGTGGCAAGAAGATCTTAACTTAAGAAAGTATTAGGCTTTTATTTGCCACTGATTCTTCTAACTTCATTTAACTCTTTTCAAAAATATTAATCCAATATAATTCAAAACCTTCCTAAATTCTTTGTAATTGAGTGTATGTAAAATTTTAATTTAAAAGTTCTACAAAAAAAAATGCAATTCTTCTTTTAAAGATCTTTATATCTCATGCTACAGAGGTTGCTAATTTAACACTTAACTCTTAGCCTAATTCACTTTTTTCTTCTATCCATATACAAAAGTTTAAAATATTATCTATTTTTGTCATTTTTAGATATAAACAAGTAATTTTTTCCTAAAATTGATCTTAAAGAATAGTGTTGATATTATTATAGTGCTTTTTGATATATTATATTTATCTATTTATATCCAAAATCTTAAATGATTAACTTATCAAATAATAATTTTAGTTTTTAAATCCTTAAACCTATCTTTATTTGATTGGTCCAAACATGACCAATTCAAACTTAACGAGCAATATATTTGATCTTTTTAATTAATTTATTTATTAGTTTCTAGCTACTAATGAATATAATTATTATTTATGTCTAGTTGGAATATGACCAATTATATATCCAACTTATTTTATTGATTGTTAGTCTAATACTTATATGTTATCAACTTTACTTGTTTTTTTAAGAAGAGAGAATTTTGAAATATTAATAACATATTAGTCTAATCACAACTAACTTGTGATATTTTTTTAGAAAAAATATATATCAATCTATCAAAAAGATGAGTATATAAATGCATACATGTTACACATCATACTACTATTAAGAAAGATTCATTATTCTTGCCTGTAAATGATAGATCACCCAACATAATCTTTTAATATAAGCATTGTGGAACCAACTCTTTGATCATCTTCAATAAATAAATGGAAGGTTTTAGAGAATGTAGCTTCTTCCTACCACTCTCTATGGAGCATGGAGTTGAAATCTATCCTCTCTTTTAGATGCCATCTTACCACCTTAGCTACTATCCCATTTCTATAAGCTTTAAGTTGCCACTCAATACTCTAAAGTTTAAAACAAAAATTTATAGCAATATAGTTTAATCCCCTCTACTATAGAATTCTATTGCCAAAAAATTATAGACCTCTCTAAAATTTACACACTTATTTTTTAACTTAATAAAAATATATCTACCAAATTTCATCCTATTCCAATACTTTAATTGATAGTTACATTCTAAGACCCAATTCTCTTCTAAATATTCTACTAAATAATTCAAACATATACTAAAAAACTACAATATATTATAGTCTTAAATTTATTTTTATATACTATATTAATTTATGGCATAACACTATAAACAATATATATTAAGTATTATCATCCAACTAATTAGAAGATATACAAAGTTGTTTGATTGAATTAACAAATATATTAGGCTAGAAAATTCATCATTGCAAAGAATTGTAGCTAACTATGAGCAGCCTTGGAGCTTCAATGGCCAAGTAAATTAGTTACGTGATTTGAAATTATATGTCAAGAGTTTTTACAATTTGAAATAATGGAAGCTTCATCATCAATACCCACTAATGTTCAACCTCACATGTTTAAGGGATGTCAAACTTATGAAATGCAAAGGTACAATTCTTGAACATGTACTTAGCTTCTAGTATATATTATATGGGATTCTAATAGATAGAATTGCAAATGCTTTGTCAATGATGTGTAAAAAATTATTAATATTTATTCTAGTGAAAGTAGGAACTATATTTTATTAGCAATGGATCAATTTAAGATTTATTTGGATTGATTTAATATTATTTTTTTTAAACCTTAAAAATATAATAATTTTACATGTAAATTAAACATAAAATGTAGAGTATTGTTAATCCACATTAATTTTTTTCTTTCATTGAATGATTTTATAATTAAAAAAATGAAAAAAAAAACAAAAAAAAACAAAACAAAAAAAAACAAAACAAAACAAAACAATATCTTATTACAAAAATTATTGAAAAAAATTAAATACATTCAACTACCTTGTATTAGTTGAACAATCTAGCTTATTATATTTGTTAAAAACATTGAATCTACAAAATTCTAGTCAATAATTATTAATGTCAATGATAAATTACAAAGTTGCTTAATAGTAATCCATTTTTACATAATCCGTACAACTTAAAGTATAATCAAGTGCATTTTATAAATAATTAAGTGAATATTGGAGAAAGAATTCAATACAAGCTCTTAAATAACTTAAAACAGGTGCACACAGCCAATCCTTCCACCTCTTTAAATCAACATCTTTCCTAACCTGCACCAGCGACCAGGAAAAGATGAACATTGATAACTAGCAAACAGCTTGAGCGGAATTCGAACGAGCATTAGCAACGAAGCAATCAAGTGCCATGACAAATATACAAAGATGTGACGATTCACTTTGTGTTTAGAGTAGGATACAAAGGTGTATCACAGAATTTTACATGCAAAAGTTGACATCCTTTTTGTTGCAGGGTTAGAAGTTTACTGGTGTCCATGTGATGCGGCCGTTTCAAATGCTAGAAACTCTTTTTGACTAAGACAAAAGGACAAACCACGAAGGAAGAACAGAAAGTAATATTTCCACTGATGCTCATGGAAGATATGGGCGCTACGGAAACAGACTTTGGGAGAATATGTCATCTCATACTGAAAAGAAGCGACCTTTCCACACCAATTGAAAGTTCAGAAAATAAGTGAGAAAATTGGCTTCACTTAAGCTAGGTCATATAACGTAAATAATTGACATAGCGTAACAGTTGGCGACGGGCACACAAGGAGGATAATGTCTCTTTGAATAATCCTTCACATCTGCTCTATGCCAACGCACCACTCAATGGACAAGTTTGCTTATAAGGTTTAACAATTTCTCGAACCCTATACCACCCCTAATCCAAATACTACATGATGTACAGAAAATTGAAGAACCCTAACCATCTCCAAGAATCCTGAAGCACCTGTACAGGACATGTAGAATACAAGCTCATGTAAGCCTGAGACGTCAAGAGCTTCTCGGTGCGCATGACGCTTATATGCATTACTTGCAGATTGGCATGAACTACATGAACTACATAAACTTTCTCTTCTTTATGGGGATAATGTAACTGAACGTCAGTCGGCCGACTTCACTCTGATCCAGTTTAGCGCAATCTACCTGATCCGTTCAGGCACCGAATCGCTATTCAAGTACGCAATCTTTCGAGTTCAAACTCCAAATAACAAGCTACTCAGTTTTCTTCAAAGCAAGTAAATTGGAATAAACCTGCAAGAGAGATCTAATCAGTAAATTTGAACAAGAAAAAGAAAAGAGTATAGACACAGGATGCTACTGCTTGAATCAATTCGTACGCAAACAGAAAGACTTACCCTAGATGTACTACTGTAAGGTCTTCACATACTGATCCAAGGTTGCGTTGAAAAGCTCACACCTGCCATTTTCAGAAATGCTCAGTTACTCACAGAAAGGCGTAGTATGTCATACACAAGAATGGGTACTTGGATACGGTAAGTATGTCCAGTACTCTGCACTTTCTTAAGGAAAACCATAATATACACGCTTATTCTAAAAGGACAGCAACAAGAGGTGATGTTCTGACACAGTGAGATTCCAGAGTGAAGAAGCACATGAGTGATACAACCTAGATCACCTGACACTGTTCGAGGAACAGCGAGGCGAACGATCAGATACAAGAAACTTACGTGAAGGGCAGCCCAGGGGTGTACAGAGGATTCTTCACTACGTATTCGACATAAATATTGTTGTAGATGAATTTCAATGCATCCCGAAGATCACCCATCCTAGGATCCGTGATCAAAATCAACTGCAACCACGACGAAAATACAAGATAAGCTACAAGGTTAAACTGCAGGTGGAAAAGTTTTAGACAACTGCATTTCGGCAGGCCTGAAGCTGGATAACAGATCCAAAACTGCAAACTGTTGCGGTAGAGAAAAATCAGGCGACAGATTTTTATGACCCATTATTGTGCATGACGACATTCCAAAAGCTTAGTAATAAAAGAGGCAGAAAATTTCCTTAATTCCAGATGGCGATTCCATAAAGCTGAGCTTGTAGGTATTGGTGCGAAAACTGTGAAACGAACACCCTTGTCCTGGTAGGCTTGGCATCCCGAGGGTGCCCTTGTTGCCTCTGCAGATCGCCACCACCCACTCATTTATCAGCATAGTGGAGGCCTCGTACCAGGGCGGCAAAGACAAACAAGAGATGGCCTAGAAGGTAGAGAAGGAGGGGAGGGGAACAAAATAAAAATAAAAAAATAAAAAATAAAAAATAAGCGAAGAGACCCACCCAACGGGATCCATTTTGGCAGTGAAAGATTTGAGAGAAAACAGGAGCCCGAACATGAGCTTCTGGTCCTGCTGGTGGCTAAGAGTGTTGTGAGGGCGCCACCAGACGTGGTAATGCAGACAGACGCCATTGCGGTTAAAAATGTACATGCATCGCATGCGAGAGGATGGAGCAAGAGCCGCCATGGCGAACGACGAAGGGGGACAGCTTGCTCGGGATCAATTCATGCGGGAGAGAAACCCTAGTGAAACTTCAACTCTAAGGTGCGAGAAGAAGAGGAAGAGGGGCAGCGAATGCCGCAAGAGGGCAAAACACACCAACATAGGGCATCCGAAAGAAACCCAAGAAAGCAAAACAGAGAACTCCAACAAAACTCGAGGAGAAACAAGCGGCGGTATCGATTTGGCCGAGACAAAGCTCTTGAAGCCCAATTCACCAGCAGCAGCATCCTCTGTCTATACACACTCTTCGTTGCCTTCGTCTTCTCACCCGCGAAATCGTGGATTTCTATGCAGGTAGATTTTAGGAAAGTTAGAATTTAAGACGAGAATATGTCATATTCCTATTAAAACATCCACCCAACTTGAATGACTTTCTAAATTTTTATTATATTTTTCTCTCTTCATTGGTCAAGTTATCTAAATTTACTTCGATTATTACAGTACACACAACAATCAGCATGAATTTAAGTAATTTATGTTTTACAGGTCCTAGAGGTTATACTTTGTTGTTGTATCTCACAATTGGCAAGAACGCACAAACAATTGTCTAAATTTTGACAGTTTGATTGAAATTTAGAATATAAGATTACTTGATTCATTTGATGAATTATTCCGGATTAGCTTATATGATTTGATAGAATTATTCTTACAATTTTTCACTTCCAATATGTGTATGATCTCTTTATGATATACAAAACATATTGGTCTCCATTTTGAAATACCAAATGATTTATATTTCATTCTAATACATATGCAAGAATACATACATATGTATGTATGTATGTATGTATGTATGTATGTATGTATTCATCAATTTCAATTCTTCAGTTATAGAGCAGGTTTACTATCTGCGTAATTACCATTATTTACATTAAGAAACCTTATTTAGACCTTGAGAATATCTTTATTAGGCTGAACAGCCTCCAAAAATCTTCAAAAGTATGTAAAGAGGATCGCTATCTTCGTTTCTTCTTTTATTACTTATCATGAGGTGTGCAAGGATTTATGTCATTGTGAGGTTAATGCTGTAATTTTAGTGGTAATGAATTGTGCACATTTGTGAGGAAGTAAGGTGGCCTCACTTGTACACATATGCCTGGACTTTTGATACTAACTAGTAATGCATATAAAACTATTTGTCTATCTTTCCACTGCTATACAATGGACAACTTTGGATTCAACACAGAAAAGTATCAAATTTTATGTAGAATACCTTCTATGTTGTCAACTAATAATGCATAAGTATTAATAAATAAAATACAATAAAATTACTTTAAGTTGTGAATGGAAAATTTGTGATATGTAATTATGTGGTTTTTTAATGAGATGATATAATGTTCTTGTAAGACTCTAACACAAGTGGAAAATTTGTGCATTAACTTAAACCAAACAGTTGGTGGTGTTACAAAAAATAAAAAAAATAAAAAAAAAAAAAGTTCAATGGTACATAGGAAGATGATTACTAGACATGAAGTGTTGGCTGATTATTAGTTTTATTCACATTTATTGTAAGAAGAGTTGAAAATTTACAATGGATATATATATATATATATATATATAAGTTTGGTAACAGGATCTGTGAGGATTATGGCAGCACATGTGATTTGGTGATTCAAATTTTTTCCCTTTTTTTTTATTGGAGTATTTAACATTCCTAAATTAAAATGAATTGATCTACACATTATCATTCTCATTAATAATTATTAGGAAAATTAGATTTTAACTATAAAATCAAGATTAGTTGTGACATGCAGTTCAAAAAAAGCCTGCAAAACAACGTTTAAAATCAATAGTTTTCGAAGTTAAAATTATTGATACTAATTTATCTCTCATACATCCAATAGAATTCAAAATCAATTTACGATTTGAGCTGAAATATTTGAAGTATAATCGAATGCACTGGAATTCTTCGAAGTGCATACGTGTAATAATAAAGTACAATCAATAAACTCAATTGAATACTACATGGACTTGTGTATTGAACAAAATAGATATGGTAAAATAAGATAGTGCCGGGGTATTACTCCACAAACATGAGTTATGACTGGTTAGAATGAATGTATTTAACATACAGAGTATTTATTTGATTGATCAAATACAAACTTCAATTATTTACTAGAAAACTTTAGAATGTTAGTCATGTATGTAAACTACCATGAAAGTTCACTAATTGTTAACATCACGCACATACACTCGTTTTTTGTTTAGGTGCTCGATGTGCTTGGGTAATTTCACGGCTCCTCACCATCGGATAGTGGATGTAAAATCCGTCATGATGTACTTTATATGAACCCAACGATGTTAGAAATCACATCTCAAATAACTGGTTTCAGACGCAGTGAGAAAATACGCATCGACGTGGTTACTGAAGCAGTTGAGAGCTCGCAAGGCCCAGATTAACAAAGAAGTACGAAAAAAGCTGACGAGAAAATCAGGACCTTAACACCCAAACCAAAGTATGGTAAAGGTTAAATAATGTTCCGTGCTCATGAAAATTGCTTTCTCAGTTTACCCGTAATGTAACAAGATAACGAGGATGGCAGATAGCGGCAAAAAGTAGACTGCTTTCTAACAGGAGATTGGCAGGAGCATTACTCACTTCATCTATTCGGTCCAGTGGACTCAGAAGAAAACTCGAATAGGGTGGAAGGCCCAAGTCAGGAATTAGAACTAGAGCTACAGAAAGAGCATGTTTCTGTCAACTTCAAGTCTTGACATTGACAAAGTTCACACCCTTTTCGATTGAGGACATCAACTCGGACTTCAATGAATCAAGACCCTTTTGCTCGTAGTCAGACAATTTTCCCAAGCCCAAAACCTCCTCAACACCATTGGGGCCCAAACGCACCTGCCAGACCCAAAAAAACAGTAACTCTGTCAGTCGCTGCAGTGGAACCAGCATTGAACATTAACCTTCAGGATGGTAAAAATCTCACATAAATCAAAACCAAGACGCTCCCCACGACAGCGGTAAGGTGAACGACTAATCTGACATACCTTCGATGAGAAGTAAGGCAAGCCAGGAACAACAGATGACGCAACATAGCTGCATTCCACAATATCCTGGGCACCGTTCATACCCTTCACGCAAGACTCAGCAAATAGAGCTCCAGCATATCTGCAAAACAACGTTTCCACAATAAATCAGAATGACATTCACAAATCATATCGTGCTGCGCTTATTATAGTGTGCATCAAGTAGCTCAGCCCGGTACTTCAAGTCATACGCTCCGCACACATGTAAAAGACTGGCTGTACTTGAAGTAAAATGAAGCTTACGCCATAGATAAAGTTGCGGAGCCCTTGCCGGCCTTAGCTTGGACGACCTCCGTTCCACCATCTTGAGTACGCTTGGTAAGAGCGTCGAGTTCCTCGTCACTCAAATCAACCTTGGGAGTGGCCTGAACCAAAAATTTCCCCCCGTTCATTAATCACGGCTGATTATTGCACACATCCAGTAGGCAGGCAATGGAATGGAAGTTACCAGAAATTACAAGAAACACACGAGCAAAATGTTTCACAAGTAACCTCTTAACTTATTATAAGCCATCAACTGCTACATGAACCTTCATCTATCTGAGTACGAAATGAAAGTTTTTTTTATAGAGATACTTCATTTCAGCTTCCAATAGTCACCTGTGAAAACAGGGGAAGGATGGTAATGCCTGCATGACCTCCAACAACAGGTACATCGACATCTGCAAAGGCCAAATAAAACAAAAGCTAATTCAGCATACGCAATTCAAAGGAACCACTATTTCTTTTCCCGTGAGTATCTTTTGAGAACGCATTGAGGATCTACTAAGTGCACGAATGTGGTCACAAATTGATAAAGCTACAGTATGAGATGATCTCAACTTAAGCTCAACCCCAGGACTCAACCATCGTCAATATGGTAAGAAGTGATACGATGGAATAATAACAACATTTGACTGTCCTTTTGAAGCAAAAACTAATATTTCTTCAACTTCTACGTATGCAAAATCCTACAATATCATAAACGTTCTCGACGCAAGAAGTCACTTAATCCTACAGCCACCAATACATAGCTTTCCAACCAATGATTTCAAAGTCTCTTAATGCATTAAAGGAAGAGTTTAATCGTCTGTCAAAAAGATTTCTTTGGTCAGATACACACCTCTCACATTAAGACCCTTCCTGTGGGCTAGGAAAGTCCTTGCTCGTACAACATCCAAGGTGGTGACACCAAACAGCCTCTTGGGATCATAGGTACCCTTCTGCTTGAACACCTCGGCCGCAATAGGCACAGTTGAATTCACGGGATTACTGATCATGTTAACCAGAGCCTGGATAACCATCACCACCACCTTGTTATATACATATATATATATATATATATATATATATATATATGTTGCAATGAACCTCGTCATTTCGTCAAAAGTGGACAAGCAGATTCAGTTGATTGTCATGTGAACGTTTTGGCACGAAATAAAAGGACGCAACCTTGCATTACGTTGATATCTTGGACGAATAGCAAGAACATGCTCATAATTCCAGTAAAAAACTCGCACTTTATCATGGAGTTGTTGAAAATAGTATAACACCATAATAATGATACTTTCAAAAACAAAATAAGAATCAAACGTGTCTCCTTTCTGAAAACATCGATCAAAGGTACGCAAATTCAGTCGTTCAGCAGAATCATTTTACCCCGGGGCAGTGCTCGGCAATTGCTGATGCCAGAGACCTTACAATCCCAGCATTGATGTTGAACAGATCATCACGGGTCATTCCAGGCTTACGGGGCACTCCCGCAGGAATGATAACTAGGTCGCATCCCTTCAACGCCTTTGCAAGATCCTCTTCTCCGGCAAATCCCTCTACCTGTAAAATCACGACTGAACCTTCAGAGATACTCAACGACGAAAGGCTTCCAAAAGTAATACAAAAATACAAAACAACGATAGTAACAAAACCTTTCAAAATTTGGAAGGATCGACAAGGAACCGTCAACTACTCTCCCTCTACATCTAATTCAAACGACGTTTTCTCAAAAGTAAATGAATTAACAAAAAAAAAAAAAAAAAAAAAAAAAAAAAAACAACAACAACAACAACGAAACCAGCACAAAACGCCAAACCGAATTCACTCGCCACTCACGTTGGCACCGGTGTTAATGTGGCTGATGTCGCAGGCGACGCCGGGGGTACCAGCGATATCGTACAAGGAGAGATCAGTAACCAAGGGGTTGAGCTTCATCAGAAGTCCCAAAGGCTGACCAATGCCACCAGCAGCTCCCAAGACAGCCACCTTCCGTTTGGGAGTCGCGGACGACATCCCCCGCACCTGCTGCTGCGAGGACAACGCTCTCTTGAGCAGACCCACGGCCACAGATCGAGCTGCCATCCTGAAACTCTTACTCCAGGATCTACGAGGACGTGAAGCAACGGCGGAGGGGAAGGGGGAGCAGGAGGAGAAGAGATCGATCGCGAGACACAAGAGCAGCGTGAATGCGAGAAGAATCGAAAAGGATAGGAGAAAAACAGACCAGCGTTCCTGAGTTTTAGGGCTTTGCGGTGCCTTGGAAAGTGCAACGAATGGGTTGGATATTCTGGAACATCGTCGTTTCGCGACGTCGAAGAACTACAAGAGAATGTCTTCGCGATTAGATCGAATCCGTCCAATTGATGTGGCTGCAGAATTAGTTCGCACCCATGACTTCCAAACGTGCACACTTCGCAAAACGTACTAACGTACATGCATATTTATAAATAAATTGGGTATATATATATATATATATATATATATATGTGTGTGTGTGTGTGTTGTGTACTAGTATTAAGGACCCTCCCTTTGCAATGAGGATCAGATAGGGTGTTTAATCTGAATAATGTTATTGAATTGTTGTTGAATTGGTTCTATACAATCTTTGTTATTCCCTCCACATCATAAATGTGTCGTGGTAAAGAATCCTCATCTACATGCTTAATGAAAACTGTCTTCTGACATGAAATTGTTACATACAATTAGATACTTCTTGCTTGAATAAAAATATATACATATATTTGTAAGATTGTTAGGGTTATATATTAGTTGTATAACGTGGAAGATATAAAAGACTTGTTGTTAGTATAAAAAAAAATGTACTACGTTTATTCAGTGAAATTTAGTTATTTTTGTTTTTCTGTGTTTGTTTATAGCTGGTTTTGGAAATTGAAAAGTTTTCTGAGTAGTACATTGAAATAATTAATTGATTTGCATTCATATAATTGAATTTTTTGATTACATTAATTACTTTTTGGTTTACTTGGTAAAATTAAAAGATCAGTTTGAGGTATTTTTTATGGTATTAGAGTATAATATATATGTTTTTTATAAATTTGAAAAATATTTTTATTTTTCTAATTTCTTTTTTGGAATTAAATTTAAACAAGAGTGAATTTAATAATAATTTGTATTAATAAATATGTTTACTTTCAAATCATGTGACTTGTATCAAAATATAAAAAAAGTAAGGTTATATCACAATCAAACAAATTCATAATAAATTTAATGGATATATATATATATATATATATTTCTTTACAATATAGCTTGTATATAATACAAAGAGATAAAGAAGCCTTATGATTGGGCATAAAGAAGAAAACTTAGAGAATTTGGAAAACTTAGAAATTAGGAAATTATAGAATATGGAAACAAATAAATATGGAATTATGGAAATAAGGGAGTATAGATATATGAGTAATTGGATGGATATCCCAAAGATCATAGAGCCCAACAACATGGGTTTTTGCTAGTATATATACATACATAAATATAAACAAATAATTAAAGTGAATTTATTATGAAAAAAATATAATATTTTATTATAAGTATATGAGAATAAATTATTTATTATGAATTAAATATTCTTATATTTTATTAATTATTATGATTATTTGATTAGATCAAGCATTATAATTTAAAATATAAATCTATATAGACATAAAAAATACACATAAGTATTTGATTTTTTTTCCAACTATCTTAGATTTAATAATAAAAAGCATATATTTTTTAAATTTTTTAAGCTAATTAGTTTCTATAAATTGATATATGAAAAATACATAACATTTGAATAAAAAATAGTCATAAAATTCTTTAAAACAACATAATGATCTATATGATTGCTGATACATATCTTAAAATTTTAAATGAAGAATATTGTAATTTATAAAATATTTATTATTGATTAAAAAAAAATTAACTATAAAAATAAGAATACTTTAGAACATAAAGATTAATATTACCAAAACGACTCAAAAGCAATAGAATACCAAAAATAAATACTTTATTAAAAAATACTAAGTATTGTAGTTTTTAAAAATATACTTCAAATCTAAAATACCACCACAAAAAAAATCTTAATAAATTTAATATAATATATTAATAAATTCTTTTGGAGGTAATAAATAAAAATATAATAAAAAAATTCTTTATTTCTAAATCGAACAAAGATTTATAATCAAAATTATAGATTAGATATTGAGATTGAAAAAAAATATTTAAAAAATTAAAAAATATTTCATTAAAAATATTAAATAAGAAATCCTTCAATAGCATTTATTAAAAATTAAAAAGAAAAAACCATAATTTAAATAAAACAAATTGATGCAATAAATAATGTATACTCACTTAATAAATAAAATATAAAATATAAGTATAAGATCATATTAATTAATTAAAAATTAATTATCAATAATATATGATTATATTTTATAAATTATATAATTTGAAAATAAAAATCATATAAAATCATATCAAAGTTATTATAATCTAAAAATCGATATTTTTAATTTATTTTATTATATAATATTTTGACATCATGATACTATAAATGCTTATTATTGAAGTAAATAAAAATAATTTAAAATAATAGTATTATTTAATAATTTATATTAGTAAATATATTAAAGTTATTTTTTGTTTTATGCTACTTGATGAATAATTAATATGGTTTTATAAATTTTTCACTAGTATTTATTTTTATAATCTTTTTCATCTTCATATTATCTTTTTCTAAATTCATGCATCATTTCCTCAAAGAAGATGACATCTTATCTGCAAATTCTATTACAAAATAATTTTAATTAAAATATTTTATTTAAAATTAATAAATTATATTATTAATTATTAAAATTAAAGTTGCAAAATAAATTTTAAAATTTAATACTTAATGGTAAAATTATAATATATTAATATTATCAATAAAAATATTATATTTTTAATAATATAAGTAGTTAGCACTTTTTTATTTTATTTTTTATATTTACAGCAATTTGAAATTCAATGCTAAAAACTTTAGTACAATTGAATAAGACATTAGATTAAACTATATAAACATAAATCTTTGATTAATTTTATGTTCATATAAAATTATCAAAATTATTAATTCTACTATTGATTTAATACACCATAGTTTTTCAAATAATCTATCTATAAGCATACAAAACTAACAAGTTTATAGAGTAACAAAGAGTTTTTTTTTTTTTTTTTTTTTTTTTTTTTTTAAATTCCAATACATAAAATATTATTAGAATTATTTATATAAAGACTCTTAAAAATATAAATTAAATAAAATCATATAAGATTAAATAATAAAAAAAATATTAGATTAACTTTTATTAAATACAAAAAAGACAAAAGAACTTTAATTTAGGATTGAAGTATAAAAATAGGCTTTAACAAGACTAAAGATGATGTCACTTTTTTTTTCTACATATCTTAACTTCTTGTCTAATGTATAAATCATAAAATAACCAAAATATGAATATACTTTTGTGTTTATTGAAAAGAATAAATATTCACTCAAAAATAGTTATAGTATTAAAACTACAATGACTATAGTCAAAGACAAAAAGACTAGAGGCTCTTAAAACAAGATTAAGAATAAAAAAATTGATGACAAGAATGAGGAAGGCCTTGATCTTACCTCCATATATATTATCTAACTGTATAGCTATGTAGCAACATTCTATAGGTCATTTGATACATATTCAACTTAAAAAATATATATCTAATTTACAAACTATGTATCTAACATGTGCACAACATAGCCAATTTGTATCACAAGTGGCTAACATGTAAAATAAATAGATAACAAGTATAATATATAGCCAACTTGTTGTCCAACTTTTCAACTTATCTGTAATAGGGTATAGATAAGATGTTTATATTATTGATATATAAAAATAGAAAGTTAGAACTATAAAAGTTTCTAGAATTGGAATTAGTTTAATAGACCAAGTAGGATCCATTGTAGAACATTCTAAAAAGAATTGAAGGCGGTTATTTAAGTGGAACTTACCATAGAACCTTTTAGAAAAGGCTTAGAGCCATTATTTAAGAAGAGCCCACTATAGAACCTTCTAGAAGGAATTTAAGGTGGTTATGTAAGTGAAATCTATCACATAGGAATATTGTAGAAAGTTCTTTACTTAATCAAGTAGAACAAAGTATAAATAGGATTGGCTAGGATCTTTTGAGATAATTGGTCAAATATAGCTTAAGACCCTTTTTTTTAATACAATTGAATTTTATATCTTCTTATTTTTTTCTATTTTGCCTAAATTCTAGTTGCTTAATTTTGTCTTTTATGTCCCATTCAATTTTATTTTGATGTAGTTTGTCCTACCATATGATGAGATTTTATGTTATCATGGATTAGAAAGATCTTGGATACTTAAGGTAGATTCGTCTTGTTTCATTAGTATGAAAGTAAGTATTAGACTATTTTCTTTTAATAATATATAGATAGTCATCATCTAATTTAAGGTCAATTATTATGGTTATACTGGGTATTGTATTGGGGCTACCACAAGCTACTCTCAAAAAATCAATTAAGAGGTGAAAAGGCATTACAATAGTAGAGTCTAGCAAAGAAATTATAGTATTGAAGATAAGGCATAGCAATCTTACGTGGATGCTTAATTATACCATCTTTTAGGCCAGATAGCTACTTTGCAGGGGCAAATAGAAGCCTCGAGGATAAAGAAGTTGAAATCTATTAGGCTGAAATTGAATAAGCCTAGTACATACTTTGGGACTTCAAGATAAGAAGATATATGTTAATGGCTCTTCAATATACAATAATACCTCCAACTATCTAAGGCAAATATCACTGAAGGAATTATCTATGCAACCAACTATTTGAGAGATGCAGTAGCCATTTTGTGGCAACATCGAGTTCAAAGCTATAGAATTCAAGGTGGATTTTGTAATTGAGAGGAGTTAGAAATCCAATTTAGAAATCAATTTTGGCCCATCAATGTGAAGAAGATAGTATGAAATTAGTTTGCAAGTCTTACACAATCTAGGTTGGTGCAAGTTTATGTTTTATAATTCAAGTCCCTATGTCTCCAAATTAACAATTTTTTAGAGGCGGAGATGATAGATTGATTCCTATGAGGTTTGAAACCTAGGATCCAACAAGAGATGGGGTTAATGGATCCACAAACATTTGAAGAGGCAATTCAGATTACAAAAATGGTTGATACCATAGATTTCAAAAATTATGGAGAATGACCTATAGCATGAAGTCCTATG